TATAAAAAATATTTTATGTTTCAAAATATCATTTATCTTAATAATTTATCAAAATTTTCATTAAAATTATATTTAAAATTTAAAATGTAAGCAAACTCAACTTTTTTTTCAAAGAGCAAAAATTATACATATTAATCATCAATTTCAAATGCCATGAGAAGTTTAATAATTTTAGTATTTACATTAATCATAATTTGTTATGAAAATATTACATTAATTATATTTTAAAAATCCATTAAATTAAATGAACTATGTTACTCGTCAAATAATATTTTTATATAATTGAAAACAAAAAAGAGGAGAAGGACTGGAAACCACATTGGAAATGAAAACCAAAGATTGTAATCATTTGGATGTCGTTGTGGAAAAATTTAGAAGATCCAAATGAGCTTTGATTATCACTGCCAAAACGTATCTTCTAATAATAGTGACTAAGTTTTGGGTATAGCTATAACTTGTGTTTAATTCAAACTTTTATTGAAATGAAAAAATAAATCAACTACAATATTTTTTTCTTCTATTTTTAAAATTATTTCATGGCATATTTTTATATCTCAATTCACAATTATACACTACGACTTAAGAGGAGCATAGTGTATATTCGAAAGTTGATTGCATGGGTTTTTGAGTCTTCATGTCTATGTAATAATTTTCTTTAAATGTACCTAAATGGTCGTGAGTGATAATTGATATGTGTCACTCTAACATATTCTTGAAACAAACTAATACACTAGTAGAATGTTTGGAAATGATTTGAGAATGCAATTTTTCATTCATTAAAACAAAAGATGAAAACAATAAATAAAAACTTTAATGAATACGTGTTTTTTCTTATCAAATATGTTCCAAGATTTCAAACCCGTTTTAGGATAGATCTGATAAATACTAAGATATAACACAAATGGAACATCGCATAACAAATTTTTAACTTATTGCACAACCGGTTATTTTATACATTATTTGACAAATAATAAATTACATAAACAAAATAATATTAAATAATAATAATAATAATAATAATAATAATAATAATAATAATAATAATAATAATAATGGTGTTAGAGACATGGTTGTGGAGAGTGATGATGATAGTAGTCAATGATACTAGTGGCAACGGGTGAAGTGGTGATGATTAGAGATAACAAGTACATTTGTATCTATTTAAAATTTATATATATTTTTTATAATTTACTTAAAATTTATGTAATATTTTATTCTATTTTTAATTTATGTCAAGTAAATTTTAATTAATGTAATTTTATAATTATTTTATGTTAATTTTTTTTTTATATTTTTTATCAAAATATAATATTTAATTAATTTTTGGATAGGTATAAGACAAATACGATATACTACTATACTCAATACCCGATTGACATGAGAATAGGACACAAATTTCATATCCGTCGGATATGAAAACGAGAATGGATATAGAGTACAGGAACGAGAACATGAATAAATGTAGAGAAATCTGTATTCATTCTGCCCCATTACCATTCTTAGTGACAGTGGTCGGTGACATTGGTATAACAAACAACAATAGTAATAGGCGACGACAATGATGGTAATGGTAATAAGGGACAGAGCAATAATGGTGGTACAACAATAACGATGATTGTGACACTTTTTTTTATCTCTTTAGTATTTTGTAATTGGGTCAAAATTAAAATTGTTTGATGATTTATAGAATAACAAAAAAATAAAGGTTTTGTCATGTCATTTTTTTTATCTAATTAATTAGGGTTTAATGTGGTACAAATATATTTTTCATCTTCAATATCAATTTTTAACAAATCAAGCATGCCTCAACATTACATTTCTTAATAAAATGGTAATAGTTTAACTAAAAGAATTTTACTCTTGGGTGTGAATAGTTACAAACCCTCTAATATTAAATTCAAATTTTCATGAATTAAAAGGAAATATATAAACACTAACAACATTAATAAAATGGTGATTCTGTTGGTTGATTGATGAATTAGCTTTCTTGTGTTTCATTATAAAAAAATGTACATGAAATAAAAATGTTATTACCTATTTTTTTTTTAGTATAAACTTGTGATCATCCTATAATATAATATTGTGTATGAAATAAACTATGTCAAAAAGAGAATATTCATGATATTTATATTTATGACTTTTTTTTAATAAAAATTAGTTACTATTTTTTTTCATAATAAATACTATGTAATTTGTAACGATGCCATGATTAAATAGAAAAAAAATCGATTTCTTTGCCTATAAAAATTATTTAAGTATTTTTCATTAAAATTGTTCTAAGTGATCAACATATACTACGTTAAAAGATGAATGAGAAAACGTGCAAGTTAAACCAACGCAATTAAACACACCAGCACTCTTTC